GACGGGGTTTCACCGTGTTGACCAGGATGGTCTCGATCTCTTGACCTCGTGATCCACCCGCCTCGGCCTCCCAAAGTGCTGGGATTACAGGCGTGAGCCACCGCGCCCGGCCTGGATTTTCTTAATATAGAATGGCTAATGTGGGTTATCCAGTGATCACATAGTTTCCCTTCTTGTTATTTGCAGGTATTGCTTCCCTAGATAGTTAACCAGTTGGTCAAGAGAGCTGGAAGGAAGCTGTAGTTTTAAGGGTGGCATGTTTTTATGACTAATTGGGAGGTTCTCACTGAAATTCCTCACCAACAATAGCCAGCCCATAAGACTAAATATTTACCAAGACACAATCCATATTTGAGTCGGGAGTTATCCTGCTAGCCATCCTCATTAAGTAAACATTGCTTTGGTGACAATTTTAAAAAGAAAGCAGACTGGGTGCAATGGCTCATGCCTGTAAATCAGCACTTTGGGAGGCCAAGGCAGGAGGATTGCTTGAGGCCAGGAGTTTGAGACCAGCCTGGGTAGCATGGCAAGACCCTGCCTCTAAAAAAATATCAAGCCAAGAAGGAAGCAGAGTTGGGGTGGAAACAAACAAACCTACCAAGTTCACACTCAGACAAACAGAAGCAACCTGGGTTGGTTTTAAAAAGGTTATCTAAAGGGAGAAAAGAAAAAAAAAAACTAAAACTTCCTTGTTAGTTCTCAAGTGGTCTCCTGGAGTATTCATCCACAGCCATGGGACACTCATAGGCTTGGTGTCATGGGGCTCCTTCACTGTCACTATCTGTATGTGCTAAGAGAAAGGAATGTCATCCTTTACGGAATGACCATCATTGCCCATTTCCTTTTGAGGCCTGGCAAAATGGTACCACCAGGAGCTGTGTCCCAGGCTTTTCTGCCAAGCAGGAGCAACAAGATGCCTCCCAGACACAGTGAGTCCCTTACTAGGGGGGTCTGGACAGCGGTATTGACTCCATGAGGCCACACTGTCCTTTTGTGGCAGCCAGGAAAGTGACCCCCATACCAAGAGTGTCAGAAACGGGTTCATGTCTCCCAAGAGAACATTTCATTCTGCAGAACTTTCTCTTTCATTTGGATGCTTGATCTACCCCTCTAGAGATGGCTTTTCTTCCTTTTAAACCTTATGTCTGTGCTAAACAAACTATCCACTTCCATTCCTCCCACCCCCAAGTATTCCAGGAATTACTTTTCAGGAAGAAAAGAATGCAAAACAAAACAAAAAACACTTTAATTTGACGCTATCTGGTGGCTGTCCATGCCAGAAATTACAAGGAGCAGGGTGACTACTCCCCATAAACATTCCTGGATTTATTTCCCAAGAGGCAAAAAGGAAAACAAACACAATTTGAGACTATGTTTTGGATTTTTGTACCACTAACACTGACTTAGTGCCTTATTTATCCTGAAGCACTGATTTTAAAGAATGATTTATCCTATGGGAATACGTCTGCCTCCTGTGGAATTCAAGGTGACCTTCCGATGGGCCTACCAGTTGAAAACTTCTATTTGAGCATTGACAGTGTTTATGCTGCCTGTTCTCTTCCCAATCCCCATCACCTTTATCCCCCCCAAATCAAATCATTGCACACACCATCAGAGATCAATACTGTAGACTTCCACTGCTTTGTCACTGGCCTGTAGCCTATCAAATAATTGAATCACAGCTTATCCAACCATTGGAGAGGAAGTGGGATGCTGTGAGATTACATCCACACTCTGTAAACAACAAGCTTTAGGTACCCGAACCTGATAGAAACAAGGAATGCTGAAAATGTCCCCACTGACATAAATGAATCCTGTAAAGAGAATGCTTCGTAGACTTCCTAGGTCCTGTGGCGTAGAGACTGAAAACTAGTGTCTTTAACAAGTCAAAGCAGACGAAGAAACAAAAGGTCTGCCGACACGCTTTTCATCTGTGTGACTCTGGGCACCCTTTTTCCCATTCAAGTTCTGTCTGTGCTGCTGTTTGTCTCATGTCTGATTTAGTTCTTATTGAGAGGGGTCTGATCACATTTTTGGTTGATCTCACCCTTTGAAAAATGTGAGGTTTTTTTTTTTTTTTTTTTTTTGGAAATACAGTTACTGGTTTGTTACAAGTGCCTCGATGAACCTGGGATTGACAGAAGCTCATTTTCCACAAGCCTGTGGCTATACTCAGTGACTCGGATTCATTCTGTTTGTTTTTAGGGACTTTTATTGAACTAAATTCTGGGGCGGGGGAGGGAAGACCGTAAGAAGAATTTCTTGATAAGATCAGATCCAGGTCCATCTGTCTCAGGAATTCTGTCCAACAATTCACTTTTTTTAATTTCATATGTATGACCACTGGTGTGTGTTTCTGTGTCCAAAATCCCTTCCATTATTTTTAACTCTAGGAATGTAAAAGGCTGTTATTACTTGCATATAACAGTCATCTCCTATAATGAAAGATATTTTGTTATTGGTTATTCAAACTAAGTCCTTACAAACAGCCCCATATATTGTGGGCAAATGTTTCATTCTTTTATTTTTCTGTACTTATTCCCAATGAACTGGTGTGCTTTATTATACACCTTTTAAAGGAGAAATTAATACAACTTCCATTTGACCCAACGTAAATTAGATAAATTAACCTTTTTGCAACATTTTCCCATTTGTTATGAATTAGCCTCTTTCCTTGTCCTTTTATATATTGTTAATAAAATATCTGCTTACCATTTTCACCTTATTGACTTAAATTAGAGGAGGTTTTTTAATAGCCCTGACATCAACCCCAGTTCACAGCCTATCTTTCTCATTTGAGAGAATTTCTATCTTTGGCTGAATTATGAAGAAGATACTGCTTTTTACGGTGACTTGATGGGTATTCTTCAGAAGTTTCTTGAAACTGCAAAAATGAAATTTTCTTATTTTTGATCCATTAGCAGCCTTGTACTTACAGAGTTCTAAAACTTCACTGGCCATTTATGCTTCTTTTGGCAATCTGACCAGAAAAAAGTGATATTTAATAGGCTATTACACATTTTATTTTGCTGTGTTCAACCGCTAAACTTCTGATTCTGTTACAAAAGATATCCTGAATTTTTAATGTTTATGTAAATAGGATAAACTTGTACTGGACATGTCTATATTATTAACCTTAAGATCCCTTAATAAATTGGTTTGATAAAGGGTTGAATTTGGGGGAATCATTAAAATTCTCAAAACTTTTGTATAACCAGATGCTCAGTTTTTTCAGAAGTAAATATTAGATGGCTTTTTTCATGCTGTGAGATGAGGCATTTCTTTTTCTCCTCTGGCTGATCTCAGAAACAACCCAGTCTCTCATCAGTAACCACGCTGTACTGTGGTAAACGATGAAGAAGGTGGAGGTGACTGGTCCAGCAGGCCCACTGTTTTGTATTCACACAAGGGGGCATCTTTGAAACACTCTTCCTATCTCTTTCTCTTAAGAAAAAGAAAAGTTCATGTCCAATAAATGTTGATTCTGAGCAAATAAATTATCTTTTAGTGAAAAAAAAAACAATCATAGAGACCCCACTAGAGAGCCCAGTGTCTGCTCAACAAACCCATGTTGAATCTCAGGTTTAGAGCATACCTCCACAACCACCCCAGCCAGCTTCCCCAACGTGTACATTCCCTTCCCATTTGGGCACTTGTAAGTTGACAGAGTGTCAGGATGGCTGATTTGAACAGGTTGTCAGCTTCTCACCTTGAGTCTAAGGCGCCAGACTCAAGGTGAGAAATTGACAACCTACTCAAGCCAAACAATTTGGAGTGCTTCATGTAGTGCCTTTCTCACTAGTCTTATTTATTTATGTTATTTTATTTATTATT